GGCTAGTAAGATATCTTGTGTATTTATTTTTTCTAATGAAAAACTAAATTTTGAAAAAATCCAAAATTTCTCAAAAAAATTTCACGAATCTTAGGAATTGTTCTAAGTAATAAAAACACACGTGATGCAGGCAATTTAAATATCATCAAGAGGGAGGACGCGGTCCTAAAATTCTTAATAATCGAGTACGTGATTAATCGACGGTCCCACATAATGGACCTGAAAATAACTCAACAGCTTTTGGGATGTGGTGATAATAGGGTTTCGGAAATAGAAAAATCCAACAAATGCAATGACCACATGATGAAGTCTGCCTGAGCAAACCGGAATGTTTCTGACCAAAATCTTCATTCAATGCAAGTACATGAGTAAATACTAATCCGAATTCAGAAAATAAGGATGCTTCAGCGATAGTTTTTGAAGATTATGCCATAGTTACCTTAATATTACGATCTGCATCAGTTTCATAGGCTGGAAGAAAGCTTTCTACAGAGGCAACCGCAGTATTTTAATAGGAATATTCAAAACAACTAAATTAAAGATCCATTAAAGGATTCTGGCCGCAAGATAAAGGCTTGAGTGATCCAAGGCGATACAACCAACGTGGATATTCGGAGAGGAGTACAAGTATACTGTATAAATCTAGAATAGATGTTTGCAGATTGTCTCGTGATATTATCGAAAACCGAAACCGAATTACAAAACATGATGAGCAGAATCGTCGAAGTGGAAAGAAGATGCGGAATCGATAAATCGAAAGTGATGAGGGTTTCGAAAGAAGATGAGCTTCAGAAAATAACGGTAGAATTTCGGAAATTGGGAGATGTTGGATATAACTTCAAGTACTCGGAAATCATTTTGCTTATATCTTCAACAGATTCTCTATTCAATTTGTATAGTTTTATAACAGTTTCGTCTAATTTATATAGTTTGTTTTATATAATATATAACATTGCCGAAAGACTATCGCACCGATGTAAACTTTTGCAACAGCACAGCATTAAATTTATCGCATTGGCAATTTAAATTTCGTTTTTGGCGCCGACATAACGTCCGCCTTGATAGCACAGTGGTCCCGGAACTGAGTGCGGGCCGGATGGGGCGGATGTTCGATGCCCGGAGGCTCCGGGTTTCCATTTCCGTTTTATGGCGCACATTCCGGTGTCGACTATACCGCTTGGTATGGGATGTTGTTTGCCTAAATTTATATATATATATATATATATATATATATATATATATGGCAATACACACAAATATTTTAAGTATTTTGCAGCCCAACCGAATTAAAAAATGATTAATATAGATTTTTTTTTATTCTATTAAACGTTTCGTCACTTAATGTGTGTCATCATTCAGCAATCTAAAAAAACATATTACATAAATAATAATAGTTGATATTAAATATAAAAATATAAAAAGGAGAAAATTATATACATACCAAACTAGAAAAAACACAAAAAATTATATAAAATTTATTAAACACTAAACTTGTCCAAAAGAACATAATAACTAATAATAATTAATAAAAAAGAATATATATATATATACGTATGTATATATATATTGAATGGTAGAGTCTTGGATTTGTGTATATTTTGTAGAGTTTCGAACAAGAATCCAAAAATAATACAAAATAAAAAACAAGAAAAGTTTTAAAAAAAAAACAATTTCTTTATTTAATTATTTGTTTATTGTCGACGTTTCGGAACTAGGTACGTTCCATCTTCATTTCACTCTAGTGTGAAAAAATAGTGAAAAAGTGCTAACAAATATTCAAACATACAGGTAATTAATTCAACTTTGTCATTAACCTTTTCTTAAAAAATTTCCATAACTTTCAAAAAAATTTTCTATTATGTTTAATATCCTGTTCTGATAATCCACTCATTTATTTTTATCATTTTCATTTTGAACATATTATCATATTTCTGTACATTATTATATTTTTTTTGCAATTAATTCATTATTTAAGAAAAATCTATTTTCTTTTCCTAAACATATTGTTTGCTAAAATCTCATCAAGATCATGTTTCTTGACAGATGTCCTGAAGATGGAACGTACCTAGTTCCGAAACGTCGACAATAAACAAATAATTAAATAAAGAAATTGTTTTTTTTAAAAACTTTTCTTGTCTTTTATTTTGTATTATTTTTGGATTCTTGCTCGAAACTCTACAAAAGTATATATATATATATATATATATATATATATATATGTCAATACACACACAAAAATGTTGTCGTCTAGTTTATTATTGATTTGTTGTTATTTTTATAATAGTTAATATGTATTTCTTATATGATTTCTTAGAAACCTGCTTTATTTTATTTTTTATGTATGACTAAATTTTTTTGATTTGTTATTATTATAGTATTTCAGTTACTTATTGAGTATATTTAATTTTAATTTTTATTGTATTTACAATTACAGGCAGAAAATTTACATGCACAATTTTTAAAGGAATAATATTCCATATTCGAAAAATGATACATTGGAAATAATATTCAAGAACTTTATTTGGGTAAGTTTAATTTTCACAATATTGCATGTTCATATTATAATTTAAACCTTTATTTATTTTGTTAATACTTATATACTATATGGTAATACTTTGTATATGACGTATTTCAACTTTGTTAATTAACTTTCTTCTTATCAATAATATCGCGTTTTTATAAATATGAATTTGGACGGAAATGCTTGTATTTTAGATAAATTTAACAAAAATAATTTAATAATATAATAAATATAGTACTATATCATAATAGTATCAAACATAAGCGATGGAATTCTGTCAGAAAACTATCTTTGTTACGGAATTCAGATCAACTTTATTTTATCTATCTAGTTGACCATTAGTACTATTAATTATATAAAAACTTGATAAATGCAAATTATTCAAGTATTTTGATTTGCTTTTAATTATTTATGAAATATGTAATTACTCTTGGCACTTTTAATTTCTAATGACGCAAATAAATCGTTGAATATCAACTATTGTT